CCTAATTGGATGAAAAATGGGGTTGACAGCTTATTTGAGATATCCCAGAGGACTTGAGAGACTTCTGTGAAAGACTGAGTTGCAAAGAATGGAGATTGCTAGATGGGGGGAACGAAGACAGAGAAACAGGAGTCCACAAGGACAATGAATACTGGCAATCTGTTAGAGGGGGAAGGTAGGAACAGGGGGGGTGTGGAGGAAAAGAGGTAGAAAAGAATTTTTTTCCCCACAACCTCCTTCTCCCTCCTTTTAAGGTATATTCCTCGTAGAAGTTCACTCCTGGGTGGTCCTGGGTGAAAATTAGAGAATTTATTGGATAGATGGTAGGGTAGGGGGGAGGTAGGAGGGAGGAGGAGCTGTCCATGGACATGAGTTAAACCCCAAGGATTTGAATCAAGGTGGGATTAGCCCCACAAATGATTAGTAGGCATATTAGAAGCCTAAAAATGGGAAGGGTGAGAAAATGACAGGGGGATGGGTGTGGGGTGGTGGGGAGGGAATGGAGGGGTGAGGGGGAAGGGGGGTGGGAGTTGGGAGGGGTACTAGGGCTAGACACTCTGCATGACTGAAGGACTTATAAAAGCAAGGAAGGAGAGGAGGGGAGATGGTAGTAGAAGAAGAGAGTTTTTTAAGAAGGATGGAAAGAAATACAGTTTTATAACCTATAATGTTAATGGGTTTGAATTTTCCTGAGAAAAGATTTTAGGCTAGTTTAAAGAGCTTATGACTATAGAGCATCTTACAGTGGTTTTTTTCCTTGCAATGATAAAACATTTTGACGATAGAGTCCAAATAATCAACTAAATATCCTAGATATTATCCCACCTGGAACTACTGCAGATTCCTCGATTAAGAGAGCCAAAAGGTGCAGCAATAGGTGGTTTGCAAAAAAACATAAGGTTTGAGCGGAGAGGCTAGTAAGATAGACACCGTGAACGTGTAGATATTTGTTTTTAAGAGGTATAACTACAGGAATTGGAGTGAACATGAGGCTTAATCTAAATATGATCCCAATACAGAAAACAGAGAGAAACTTTTGGAAAGTGTGGTCTGTAGAAAATTGATGGACTTTGGAACAAGGGTCGTTTGAAATATTAGCTGGAGATTTCAACTATTGTATGGATTCCACAAAAGATGATGCCAACCTCTTATCTGTGCACAGAAAAGGGGTTAGGTCCACTGAGACAAATTTGAAGAAGGTGATTGCCATGAGTTGTAAGATAAGAAGACACCTTGGAGAATCATGCATATGAATGATAAGTCTATACCTTCATCTCTCAAATAGCCAAATGTAGATGTAAATTCAAGGTTAGATTACATATTGATAGATCATCAACTTATTGAGTTTTTGGTTAAAGTAGAAATAGAAGCAATGTACTTTCTTGAATCATGCCCCAGTTATAATGAAAATGGAATTGGGGAAGGCGGAGGATTAGAGAGGTATAGGATGGAAATTGAATGAAGCACTTCTCCTGGATAAGGATACCGCTCAGAAGATAGGGGAAGAAATTAAGAGATTTTTTAAGGTGAATGAGGACAGTGATGTGTTGATAGCTACAGTGAGGGGAGCCCCATAAGGCATATATAACGAGAATTTGATCACGATTGGGGACAAAAAAGAAAAGAGAAAGTGAGAGAGAAAATTTAGTGGGCTCCTATAAAAGAAATATTTGACCTGGAACCGATACACAAAAATAAAATAAAAATTATGATCTTTTGACCTATCGAGAATGTTCATTGTTGTAAGATTCTCTCACAGTTTATGGAATACAACTTCACAAGATTTACAAGATCTCATTCCGATTGAGTCACTAACTGTGGTATCCAAAATGAGGTTGAAGTTTCATCCGCTATCTCATCACAACTGTAAGTTACAGTAGTAATCACATTATCAATGCTTAGATTGGAAGAGACAGAAAAATCTTTCTCCAATACTGTAAGAAACAATCTTGTTAAGGGAGATCCTCCAACATGTATCCACACTCAGCAGAAAATAAGCCTCTAAAGGGAAAAGCATAAATCGCCACTGTAACCTGAAACCAAGCGTCAAAGACTGCACAAAAAGCAGCTGCTCCATCTTGAGGACCAAATCGCCTGATCTCTCAAAGGATCTATTTCACATTCTGTGGGTAATGTGCTCCACCAATCATAAACACAACACGGGGGACCCGACTCACTAGTGCAGCATAAAGCAATGAGTAAGGCCTAAATGGCCCTCTGTGGTGGATTTCATTTAATAAAGGCTATATCTGCTTGTGGATTCTACCAAAGTGTCAGCATTTCTTACAGATCCAGATTCTATAGGCGTACAGCGGACGATATAACTTGAGCACTAAGTGAACACACTCAGAATGATTAGGGAGAGGAGGTAGCGGTGCTGTGAGTGTTTCCCAGGATAAAGCTCTGCCCTACAAGCTTCATCCAAACAGACGTCCTCAGGGGCTATGTAAAAATTAAACACAAATGCAACATCTCCTGGCCCAATTCTATTGGAGAGTATGGGAATTTGTCCAGGACCCGATCAAAGGCTGTGCAGCTCTAACACAAGCTGGGAAAGCTCAATACAAAACGCTCTCTGATAAAGAAGGGACACTCCTTCGAAACGCGTCATCGTCACTCTGAGAGTCTCCCCTTTCCGATGGCTGATGCGCAACGAGTCTTGCTTATCGTGTGTGGTTAGATTTTGGATTTTACATGTTTGTTTTACTACTACGTTTTGGGAGTATATCTCCTAAATCAATTAATCAATTAATTGTTTACTGAGGTAATGTGCAAGGTTTTGTGCGCTCTGTTTTTTTGTTCTCCACTACATGCAATGTAAAAATTGCCATTACTTAAAACCAAATAACAGAGCACCAAAAACTTCCCATAACACTTTGAAAAACAAGAAGACAAAAATGGTATCCAACATGTTTTGGGGGGCCAAAAAATCCGCCTTCAACCAGGGCCTAATACCCTGACTACAAGTCCATTGAGACAGCTCCGGTTTTACACTTGACAGAGAGTTCTCTTTAGAAGTTTTTCTTAACGAGAGTTTCAAATTTACATTGTTGTTACACTTGGGCCCTGGTGAAGGGATTATTTTTTGGCCCCTGAAACATGTCGGTGTCAGGATCTCCTCGATCCCTGCCGCGATGGTCCCGGCGCAGGCGCAGTGCACCGCCCTGTGCAGGGACACGGGCACTAGGTCCGGGCCCGGGGCGGGGGGCGTCGGGGGGCGCGGTAGGGGCCGAGGCCGGGGGGGCTGGGCACCATGGCAGCGCAGGGCGGGATATTTAAATGGCCCTGAGCTGTCATTCAGTGCCTTCTGTCTTCCCTGCATCCTGTGAACCTGTGATCCTGTACCCCCTTGTAAGTTTTGACCCGGATTGAACCTGACCTTGCTGCTTTCTCCTGCTCTGACCCTTGCTTTGCCTGACCTCTCTCCTGGATGCCCCTATTGGATTTGACCTGCTGTTGCTGACCTGGCGTGTGACCCGACCATTCTATGCCCGCTGCCTTGTACCATGCCGTCCTCTCTGTTACCGACCCGGCCCGTCTGACCTTGCTCATCCATCCATCTCTTGCAGTGGGGTCTTCCGACCTCCTCACATCAGACTCTTCCCCGTGGGAGCCCCTTGCGCATACTTACTACCACTGACGGGCGCACCCAGTAGTCACGACCTGGTCTCAGGGAGCTCCAAGTCCATCCCACCATCAGGGGCCCTGGTGAACAAGTACCCTGGGACTTAGATTCCGTGTGCTGGGGGCGCCTATTCAGTGGAGTACTAGTAGTACCGCCGGGCGGTCCCTTACAGTCGGATAACATATGTGTTATTGTTATCAAAGTATTACTGGCAATAAAGAATTATTGACTCTCAAAACAAACCTATACTGTTCTATTATTCAGTTTTACATGGATTTCTCAATTCAGGTGGCCCTTACGTCGTCGGGGACCCGCTGCCTTGTTGTGGAGCTGCTGAGGTCATTCCATCAGGTCTCACTGCCACCTTTCCTAAGAGAGATTGAAGTCCAGTGCATTACATCGACTTTTCCTTGCACTTACTGTAATAATTGGCTACTTAAAGATATTTTTTAAAATATTATAAAAAAGTAGGGATGCACGGATGTCATCAGCATTTTGCAGATAGGAAAAAAAGGAGCCGATAATGGCTGCCGAAAACACATGATTTTAAATGCATCTTTACTTATGATTTTACCACATTTAGGGTGTGTTTTTCATAGGTCATATTACTTAAAAAACCGCATGCAAAACGCAACACGTGCATTTTTTTTTTTTTTTTTATTCCAAAAAACAAAGTTTATTGAAAACAAGATACAAAATTATATTTATCACACGAAAATGTACAGATGAAGTGTACATAGACATGCAGCAAAGCAGATATCATACAAAGGCAAATGAGGTCCAACGCAAGACCAAGCAGTGTGGATGAACTAGGCCACGACAGGGTTGTGCCTGTAATATTTAGGTATGCTTGTCAAGTGCTAAAAATAAAGAGACGTCTGGCCTCCCTACCATAATGTCTTGCGGTAAGAATCTGTAGGGGGGAGAAGAGTAAATACGATGCCTAGGTAAGAGTCAATACTACAGAATACGATGGTGGAATTGTCCGAATGCGAATGTAGGAGTAATTGTCGTGGGGACCGCTAACGGAGTGCGGAGGGTGATGCTGGCAGCATACTCAGTGTTCTATTGGAAAAAACAATTGTCCGAAACGTGTGTAAGCATATGAAAGGAAAAGAAAAGAGAAGGCGAAAAAAAAAGAGAAAGAAAGAGGAAGAGAAAAAAAAGGGGGGGGGGGAAGGGAAGCAAATGGGGAGGGTAAAATAAGGGAGGGGACACACCGCCAAAAATATCTTATCCTCAATACAAACAGTAGTGGGAGTGGGTGGAAACGAAGCCATCATCGGCGTCAAAAGAATGTGGGTGTAACGCAGGGGGGAGTATGATGACACCCTCAGGTCAAATACAACTAAATAACACTATCAGGAAGTCCAAATCAGGTTCAGACAGATTGGTCTATGAGGGATCGATACTCCGGGGTAGTCAGAAAATGGGTCCAGCAGGCCCATACGTGGGAGAATTTCGTAGGAGTGTCGAGAAGCAGTCGCAACCAGTTTTCCATGTCCGCCGTTTTTACCCACTCGGGTGATCCATTCATGTATAGAGGGAGAGCGTTGCGTGTGGAGCCCCACAGAACCGGAATACAGAGTCTGGCTGCGTTGATCATGTGCATGGCCAATGATTTAAAGTACTGAGCCCTGGGAAGGGAAGAGTGGTGGAGGAGGAATTGAGCAGGAGAGAGAGCTAAGGGTAAGGTAGTTATAGACACTACTAACCTATGGACCTCCTGCCAAAAAAGATGGTTGAAGAATCGGGCAAAACCACCATATGTGAAGAAAGGACCCATCTGGGGTCCCGCATCTCCAGCAGCTGTTGGGAAAGGCGGGGTTATGATGAATTCTCGAGAGGGAGTTCGGTACCATCTAGAGGCTAATTTGTAGCTGTTTTCTTGTGTCGAGACATTGAGGGAACATTTATTATGAGAGTATTGGAATACCAGGTCCCAGTCTGAGTCCGATAGCTCTCAGCTTTAAGATCTCTCTTCCAAGCCCGATATGCGCGGGAGGGAGTCATAAGGACGGCTCTCCACTAGAAGTGGGTAGATCTCCGAGATCAGATGTTTTCGCGGTTCAGCCTTCGCGCATGCGCCGATTCAAATGAGAGGTATTGGTAAGACCAGAGGTGTGGGGGGGGGGGTGGGCAGATGGTCGCAATGTTGTCGGGGTTCAGCCTTCGAGAGTCAAGAGTGGGTAGTGTTCAGTTTGGGGAGTTTATGAGAGAGAGGTGCCAGTTATGAGGGGGCTTATGAGAGAGCAGATAATGTCTGATCTGGAAATATACCCAGAAAGGGAATTCGCGAATACCCAGGCTTTCCTGCAATTCTCGGAGTGTTTTCACCTTGCCCTTGTGGAGAAAATGTTTCACTAAGATCTGTTTGTGTGGCCAGTGTTTCATTAAAAAGTCTTTATGCATTCCGGGGGGGAAGTCAGGGTTGAGGCGTATGGGGGTCAGGGGGTTGAGTGTGTCAGAAATGGATGCAGATCTACAAGCTGAACGGAAAATTTTTAACGTAGGTCCCACCAAAGGATGGGTGAGAAGAGCCTGTGGCGTGTGTTTCGGTGAAAGCCAAGGGATCGATGCCAGGGGGAAGGGCGAGCAAGCATTCTCTATAGATATCCAGTCTTTAGAGGCAGTGTGAACGTGCCAATCAACTATCCGGGAAAGATGACAAGCCCAATAGTAGCGGTGAAGATCAGGAATCCAATTCCCCCTCTAAGTTTAGAGAGGGTTAATTGGGAGTAGGCAATACGTCGCGGACGTTTGTGGCTCCAAAGGAACAGTGAACACAGTCTTTTGCAAGAAGCAAAGAAAGCAAGAGGTAAGTGAATTGGTAATGTTTGGAAGAGATACAGGAGACGGGGAAGTACATTCATTTTAATGATCGCTGCCCTTCCAAACCACGAGAAACAAGGACGGTGCCATTTATTGAGGTCTTCTTGCATAGAGCGAAGAGCGGGAAGAAAGTTTTTCACATAAAGGTCATCAAGATTACTGGTGAGCTGGATACCGAGATAGGTTAGGGAATCCCTTTCCCAGTGAAATGGGAATTGGGCCTCACAAGCAGAGACTAGCTCAGCAGACAAGGTAATGTTAAGGGCGGCTGATTTGGAAAAATTAATTTTAAAATTCGACAAATATCTGAAAAGGGCAAAGTCTTTCAGTAGGTTCGGAAGGGTGATGTGAGGGTCCGCCAGGAACAAGAGAAATATCATCCGCATAAGCTGCGAGCTTATATTCCTTGTCTGCCACCGTGATTCCTTTAACGTCAGGGTTTTTAAACGAATTTTCCGCAACAGGGGCTCAAGGGATAGGACAAACAAAAGCGGGGAGAGGGGGCATCCCTGACGTGTGCCGTTCCGTAGATGAAAGGAGTTTGACAGATGGCCGTTCACCCGGACCCGGGCAGTAGGGGCAGAGTAGAGGGCCATTATAAAGTTAAAGCATCTTCTCACCCAAACCCAGTGCCACTAAAGACGCGTTCAAATAATCCCAGGCAATCCTGTCAAAGGCCTTTTCTGCATCCAAGGAGAGGAAAAAACCCGGAGTGTTAGACCTGAGAAGCCAGTGGTGGAGATTAAGGGCCTTGATAGTGTTGTCCCTTGCCTCTCTACCATGGATAAATCCTGCTTGGTCCAAATCGACCAGGGAGGGAAGCAAGGGAAGAAGACGATTAGCAATGATCTTCGCGAATAGCTTGACGTCCACGTTCAGCAAGGAAATGGGTCTGTAATTGGAGACCTGGGTATTGTCCTTCCCGTCTTTGGGGATAACTGTAATGTGAGCCTCCAACAGGTGGTTAGGCGGCCCTGAGAAGGTTGAGCGAGAGTGTTAAAAGCAGCAAGAAATGGAATACCCAGTATATCTAGAAAAGATTTGTAGTAGGCTACTGTAAAACCATCAGGGCCCGGGCTCTTCCCCGGTTTCATCTGTTTTATTTTGTATTTGTCTGCATTTATATTGGATTACAGTTTCAATTAAGGTGAGATCTTTTTCCAAAGCGTGGACCAGATCCTCGGAGAGGGCGGGTGAACCGTAGAGACGGAGAAATTCAGAGATCAAGGCAGCTCTAGATTTGTGTCCGAATGTATAGGGGGACGTTCCGGAGGGAGGTTGTATAGAGATTTATAGTAGCGTTCAAAATGGGCGGCAATATCGGGATTGGATGTAGCCTCAATACCATCAGAGCCTCTGATTTTATGTACCGTCATACTAGCCCGTTTCTCACGAAGAGCTCTGGCTAGAAATTTCCCGCTCTTATTTGCGAACTCGTAATACAGCTTATGTGAAAGAATGTATCTTTTTCTAACCACCTTACCCAGTTCCGTGAGAAGTTGTGTGCGTGTATGCGTGAGTTCTGAAAGGGTCGACGCAGCCAGAGTCTGTTTGTGTGCTCTTTCCAAAGAGCGGATCCTATCTGAGAGGAGCTTCAGACGCTCCTGTTTGGCTTTCTTACGTCTCGTCGCAATGGCTATGAGGATGCCCGAATGACACACTTGTGGGCCTCCCATTGTGTGATGGGTGAGGTGTCTGACGAGCTATTCAAGGAAAAATATTCAGCCATATTAGAGCGGATCTCTTGAACAATAGCGGCATCCACAAGAAGGGAAGCATCCAGACGCCAGTATTTGGAGCGCGGGTGCGAGACGGGGAACCGTAGCGTCATGGTGATGGGATGATGATCGGAAAGGACCATCGGTTCTATGGTAGCAGCATGGAGGAGAGGGAGATCTGGTTGCGACAAAAAAAAATAGTCTATCCTAGAATACTTATTGTGTGGTGGGGAAAAAAAAAGTATAATCTTTAACAGTGGGGTAAAGTGTACGCCAGGTGTCATGTAATTGTAGAAGCTGTAATTGTATATGTATTTGCCTGAGAGCCTTGTAGAAGAACATCCCAAGGAGGAGTCTAGCAGAGGGCTCAAAGGGACATTCAGATCGCCTCCAAATATCAGTAACCCTTCCTGGAAAGCGGCTAGGGCAGAGACGAGTGAGCGCATGAAGGAGACCTGTTTAACATTGGGGCATAGACATTGGCGAATGTGATAGGTCTGTTAGCGAATACCCCCTTTATAAACAGGTATCTACCCTCAGGATCCACCATGGAATCTGTTATATGGAACTGGAGGTGTCTGGCGAACAATATCGCAACCCCCTTAGCCAGGGGGTTGGTGGCGTGGAGGACCGTGGGGAAGCAGAAATTGTAAAGCTTTGGAATGGAGTCTTGGCGAAAGTGCGTTTCTTGTAAAAAGACCACATCCGCTTTCTGTTTGTGTGTAAGTAAGAGAGGAGCATTGAGCGCTTTTCGGGTGTGTTCAGACATTTGACATTAAGTGAAAGGAGTTTCAGAGACAATTGTCCCGTCTGTGAGGCGGAAGAAAGCATGGCTGCTGGAAGGCGGAGCCTGAGTCCGAAGCCTCGGTATGCCGAGGATCCGGGGGATGGGAAAAAAGAAGGGGGGGAGGGGGAAAAGAGAAAAAAAAAAAGGGAGGGAAGGGAGGGAGAAGGGGGGGAAAAAGGAATCAAGAATACAAAAAAAAAAAAAAAAAAGGAAAAAGTGAAAAAGAGGATTATAGATAGTATACGGCTTGAGGAACAGACCCGCTGTTCCACGTGAGAGAAAGAGAAACAGGAAGAGGGGAAAAGGTCGGGGAAAAGGAAGAGGAGCACAAAGATAGAAGAGAGGCTCAGAAAAAGAGATAAAGATAGTAGCCGAAAAAAACAGGTCAGTGGAAGCTCGCCAAGCTCACTGTGTGGGGAACGAGGTCGGCGTAAAACCAGGAAGTGCGCATCCGCCGGCCGGTGGCCCCCTATGAGAAATTATTAAAAAAAAGACAAGAACAAGGGGGCGGGGTTCGAGAGAGGTAAGTGGTGTCAGAATGTCAGGGCAGGAGCTGAGGAATGGACAGGCAGGCCTAACAATGTAACGCACTGGCTGACGACAACCACCACCCACAGACCAAAGTCCCTCAGGGCGCGGAGTCTAAGTCCCAGGCTGCCCTTCACCAGGGCCCCTGATGGTGGGGATGGACTTGACGCAGCCAGGAACCAGGTCGCGGCCCCCGAGAGACACCTCAGCTGCGGTAATGGCCGCCGCCAATGGCGTGTAGCTGGTGGAAGAGACAAAAGAGTAGTCAGACAAGCCGGGGTCAACAACAACAGGACAGAACAGTACAGGACAGCAGACGAGAATCACAGGTCACGAGCCGGGTTCAGCAACAGAGGGTCAGATCAAAGGAGAATACAAAGAATAGTCAAGACAAGCCGAATCAGATACCAGGAGAGTCACGAGAGTCAGAACAGAGTAACAGCAACACAAAGACACAAGACACAAGTGCAAAGAGCATGTGCGGGCCACAGGCTTATATGTCATCAGCCACACCCCTCTGGAGGATGGACCACAGAAACCTGAAGGCAAAAAGGGCTCCCATCATGCACAGCAGAATCCAAGATGGACACCAGCACATGAAGTAACATAACCACAGGAAAAAGGTAGGACCTTGACAGTACCTCCCCCTCAAGGGCCCCTCCCCCTCCGCGGCTCAACAAAAGGTTTCTGAGGAAAGCGGGTATGAAAAGCGCGGAGGAGGGCAGGAGCATGGACATCCGCGGAAGGAACCCAGGAACGCTCCTCGGGACCATAACCGCGCCAATGAACCAGGAACTGTAATTGACCGCCGCGCACCAATCGAGAGTCCCAGGATCCGGCTCACCTCATACTCCTCATGACCGTCAACCCGGACAGGACGGGGCCGAGGAAGAGAGGTAGTGAAGCGATTGCAGATCAGAGGTTTCAACAGGGAAACATGAAAGATATTGGAGATCCGCATCCCAGACGGAAGGGCAAGTGCATAGGCCACCGGATTCACTTTGCGGAGAATGCGGAAAGGACCGACAAAACGGGGAGCCAGTTTGGGTGTGGGCACCCGAAGATTGAGGTTGCGAGTAGACAACCACACACCCGATCGCCGACCTGGTATGAAGGAGCGGGCAACCGTCTGCGATCAGCCTGGAACTTCTGGCGCTGAGCTGAGCTGAGTCCCTCAAGGCCCTCTGGATCTGCCCCCAAGAAGAACGCAGGGCAGCAAGATGGTTCTCCACAGCCGGAATGTCCTGTGGTGAGAACCTCTCAGGTAATACCGCGCGGTTGAAACCCATAGTTGACCATGAAGGGAGACATCCCGGTGGAGGTAGTTGACCGCCGAGTTCCTGGCAAACTCTGCCCACGGCAGGAGATCGGCCCAATCATCCTGATGGTCTGAAATATAACACCCGAAGGAATTGTTCTAAGGCCTGATTGGAATGCTCCGCAGCCCCATTGGACTGCGGGTGGTAGGCTGATGAAAAGGAGAGACTAATACCCAACTGGGAGCAGAAGGCACGCCAGAATC